AGTGTCAATTTGTGCATCAATCCTTCTCTAATTTGCCAATTTCTTCGTTTGGGTATGTGAAAAATAATATTATTATGTTCAAAGTTGTGTTGCATTGTTAAATAAAATAAATATTTATTGATACATTTATCAAAATAATAATATTTAATCAACATTTGTTAAATATAGTAGTTCTTGTTTTTAAACGATATAATTAATTAGCTTATATATATTCATCGAATATTTTAGGTACTTGGTATATTATTCGAAAAACTGGAAACAAAATTTTATCTTCTATATTGATTGAAACAAATAAACTGATACTGTTTTAGGAGTTCTATCTAAAGATGGTTACTACTGCGATGGGAGAAGGAATTACTTTTCCATCAGTTGACAAGCAAAAAATGTTACTGGAAGAATTTTACGAAGAATGTGATATTTCGCCTTTTCGCCTCTTTTACATGGAGGCTCATGCAACTGGTACTCTAGCCGGCGATCCTATGGAACTTCAAGCCATCGATAAAGCTTTGTGCGCTACAAGACAACTTCCTCTATTATTGGGTTCAGTGAAGTCGAATATTGGACATCCAGAAGCTGCCAGTGGTCAATGTCATATTGCAAAGGTAAATTTAAAATAAAATAACATCCAGAAGCTGCCAGTGGTCAATGTCATATTGCAAAGGTAAATTTAGAATAAAATAAGGTTAATACAATTATATAATTTAACGTTACTTGTGCAAGTATTTCTTTATTTAAAAATTATTTTTGGATAAAGGTTTTAATAGCGATGGAAACTGGTATAATGGCGCCTACTATACATTTTAAATGTCCACGAAAGGATATGACTGCTATTATTGAAGGAAGAATAAATATAGTCACTGAACCGACAGAATATAAGGGTGGTTATATCGGTATTAATTCCTTCGGATTTGGCGGTGCTAATTGCCACGTATTACTAAAATCAAATCCAACAATTAAAGTCAATAATGAAGCAGATGATAATTTACCTAGGCTTGTAGCTATATCTGGACGTACGGAGGAAGCAGTTAAAATTATATTAGATGAGGTAAGTACACATTTCATGAATAATCTAATCTTTCTTATACTTATCTCGTATATTATTATTGTCATTTTAAATTATTTACAAAATTAATCCTTTTTTAATAAAAAACAATAAAAGAATAACTGCACGTTTATCGCACACACAAAAACACAAACACATGAAACACATACATGGTAATGTATTAAATACATAAAATTCATATAGGATAATATATTACAATAAATATAAAAGTAAGGAAAAAACTATCTATTATATCTCAGAAATGGTTGAGCTTTCGATTTATGTTTACTAAGATTTTTTTACTCAGTACGGTGTGTCCTATCTACCATATAAATATTGAATGGTTTTCTTTGAACACCCTGTATATGTAGTACTTTAAAATAGCGGTAATACTATAGTAATACTATACAGTACTAAATAATAGTACTATAAAAAAATGTAAATACTAAATAATTAACGCAAAGGATAAAAAATGTATTATTACGAAATAAAAGCTAGAAAAAATTTAAGAAATTGTTTATATTCATATAAAAAATTTAAGAAAGTCATTGTTATAACTTAAATTACGTTTACTTAAAATGTATTAATTATATATACATATACATTAAATTACTAATTCTACTAATAGGATCTAGATGTAAAAGTTAAAGATAAATGTTTATTTTAAACCGGTAAAAACAGGGAAAAGAGCGGAGTATTATTAACAGATCTAAGGCATATAACAATCGATTGAAACAAACGCATTAGCAGTTAATGTAGCCATTAATCAATTTAAAAAATAGAGTATTAGTTGTATGCAAATTTCAAAGATTTAAAATTAAAAATAAGATATCTATGTATTATAATTATAATATACGTGTATGCAGAGTATTTCACAACTTTTGTAATAATACATATTTTAAAAGTGAAATATATGTATAGAGTAAAAAATTCTACAATAATTTAAAAGCTACAATAATTTTTGAGTTATAAACGATCAAAGTTTGCCAATAATATTGTGTAGAATTCGCGTATTCAGATTTGTAACTACATTTTTACGCGTACCGATTTATCATCTATTATTGATTTCAATCTTTATCAAATGGGGATTAACTATATTTTAAAAGCAACTCGACATCGCTAAGAAAACCTAGAATAAAAAATAAGATATTTTTGAGATGACCTTGGCCACCCTAGGGTCCTAGGACCTAGGTCCAATTAAATTTTGCATTCTATTTTCTTTTTTAAACTGAACAACTTCCGTTGAAAATTTTTTTTTAATTTAGCATATTTTTTATATATTTCAAAGTATTTCCATTTAAATAAATCATCCTGTATATAAGCGTAATAATTATACTATTTACCTATATTAATTTTGTGCGACACACAGAAAGCGTCTTTTTAATGTCTTTGATGAAATGACTAAATAATATCTAAGATGCATACAAAGTAAATTATGGAATGCTTTAAAAAAACACACACACACACACATCCAGATTTTTCAAAATCGAACATATAAAACATAAATTAAATCTACATTTGATAAAATTTAAAAATTTTATTGATATATTAATAATATTATTCATATCTAAAATAAATAAAATAATGAAGTCGAAAGATTAGAACTAAAATTACACGATTCCACGATTTGTAAGTGAGAATTAAGGGTAATTACTTCTAAAATATGCAAAATTTATAAATAATAAATTTATATATAGTATATATGTATATATAATTTCATTTATGTACACATATATGTAAACTTCTTAATTAAAAAAAAAATTAACTTTGAGAATAGTCTATAATAATATAAGATAATTGTCGTATAGTTACGATTAATAACGATATTTTTATAGGTACAGAGTCGGTCAATAGATGTAGAATATATCTCTCTGCTACATCGTATTCATAGTGTCAATATAAAAGGTCATTCCTACAGGGGATACATAATAACTGGATCCAACGTATCTGATAACGCAATAATTAAAATGGGACGCAACGTAAGTACGAAAAGACCGATTTGCTTCATATTTTCTGGAATTGGATTGCAGTGTCTTAACATGGGTAAGTAAATCACAAAAATATCATATTACAATGTAATATTTAACAATTATTAAGATGTTAAATGTTTGTTTGCAATGAACATTTAACAATTTTTAATTTACACATATATTGATTTTCTTTAATACTCGTTAAAACATAAAAAGAAGTTAATCGATATAATATCTCCAGTTTGCGAATTTTGTAATCTTTTAAGTTTCATTTATTAAGTATGATAATTAAATTTTGATTAAATTAAACTAAAATATAATAATGATACTGTAGGAAGCATATGCAAAATAAAGATAAACAATTTCCAGAGATTTTATTACAATATTATATATGTTTAGATCAATTAAGTAAAAATATTATTTAAGACAATGTATTACATGACATTAAATTATACGAACTAATGTACTTAATATTTTCTTTTAAATATTGGTAGGTCGAACTTTGATGAAATTTCCACCATTTATTAAAGCAGTCCAGAAATGCGACACAATTTTGAGACCTTACGGTATATCGGTAACAGATATTCTAACAAATAGAAACAAAGATATTGTCAACAACGTAGTCAATTTATTTGTAGGCCTTATTGGATCACAGGTATAAGCATATATTCATAAATAAAATATATCGTCTATATATGTCGCAGGATTATTTTATAATGTCTAATTTTTTAAAGCTTCTTATATTTAAAAACTAGTATCTTATAAAAAGTTACAGTTATAATTGTAACATATATAACTGAAATCAAAAAGTACCTATTACATACATATGCATAATTATATGCAGAACGCTAAATTTGTAATATTTTATAATATTATCTTATTCAACAGAAAAAGAAATTAAAAAGTTATGACAAAAAATTATATATATTGCAGATTGGAATAGTTGATCTTTTGACAAGCATTGGTATCACTCCTGATGTTATAATGGGTCATTCCATTGGCGAGTTGATTTGTGGATATGCCGATTGATGCTTAACGGCCGAAGAAACCATCTTGTTGGCATATTATGTCGGCTCAGCATTTCTTAAGTCAAAAATAATAGATGGTTTAATGGCTGAAATTAATCTCGATTTTTAAACTTTGAAAAATATTTGTCCGTCGGATATTGATATAGCTTGTTACAATAATTCACGTAATTCTATTGTGAGTGGACCAACAAACTCTGTAAGAGCATTCCTCGCTAAGCTACAGGTTTGTGAAAACGCTTAAATAGTATTAAATAATATATTGTATAACCCCCTCACCAAAATTATATATATGTAAAGGAATACTTAATTTTTCTTAAAAAGTGTAGGCAAAATTCAGACAACTCTAACTTCGTAAAAATAAAATTTATATCCAAAAAAAGGGTTTTAAAGCTTAAAATCTTTATTTTCGAAAGGTCATTATTTTCTTGAATATCTGTGAGTTTGATAATTTTTATATATAGAAAACTATGAGCTGGACAAAATGTGAAATTTTCTTCCCACTTCATGGGCTTCACGTGACAAAAAAAAATCTACGAAAATTTACGACTTTCTAATGTGAAAGCTTATAGTTTTC